TGGAATGAAATATAGAAATACTGAAGTAAATAAAAGCAACAGTAGTAACAGTTTCGGGTTAAATCCAGAATAAACTTTGTACATCAGGTATTAAATTGTATGGAATTCTTGAGAACCTGATATCTTTGCGAATATGCTAGACTATCACTGATTTTAGACTTGTGATTGAGTAAAAGGTAAAAATGTGAGTATATTGTTCAAACGGTATCAGAATGTGTAGGAGAATGAGAAATCCACTGTATTCATAAGCTTAATTTTTAACTTTACAAGGATTATTCAACTGCTTAAAGTGTTGTTTGCAAAGGTCTTCAGGATTACTTCAGTAGGTATTTGAAGTGATTAAAAAGATTGAATCTATCAATTTACAAAAGCAATCTGAAGTGGTTAAAGAAATGAGAGGGGCCGGCCAAGTGGCGCGTTGGTTAAGAACTGGCTTGGGACGCCAGAGGGCCCCCGATCGGATCCCACATATGAGGGCCAGTGACACTGCCCTCTACAGCTAAGATGCTGAACAACAGCTCAACCTGGAGCTGGGCTGCCCTGAGTCGCGGCGATGGCGTAGGCTGCAGCCCCTGTGGCAGTGCGTTGCCATGGGCTACCGTGTGTAGCCAGCAGCCAGCGTGAGCGGCCGTCCAGAAGCCAGCGACTGATCTGCCTCGCCTGGGAAGAGCGCAATGATGGTGCCAACTTGGGCCAGTGAAGCAGCGTCCTCCACAACTAGACTGAAGAACAAAAGAACAGCAACTTGTCTGTTCCCCTTCCCCAATTCCCCAGCGCTGTTCCCATCCCCCAATTCCCCAATAAAAATCTATGAAATCTTTAGTTCATAGATTAAGTTATGAACTAAATTAATTAATGGGGATTTAGTCTGTTCATCTTGAATTTATTGACATTAAAGCAAACACCCAAAATTTATCTGTTCTTATTTTATACATTACTTGCTAGATTTATATGTAAAATAACAAGATATTTTAGGAAGACTAAAGGCATAACATAAAAATAAATGTAGTTTTCAACTTTAATAAGTCAATGTTAATTAAATAGTAACATTTATTTAAAACTAATATTAATTTTAGTCCTGCCAAAATGCATAACCAGAATCTAATCGTGAGGCTTCATTAAACAAACGTAAAATAAGGAGCATTCTACAAAAACAAAAAGAAAAAAACTGATCTATACTCCTCAAAAATGTCAGTCACAAAAGAAAAGAAAGAACTGTTCCAAATTAAAGGAGACTAAAGGGATATAATTCAATAAAATGCAGGATTGGAAATTTCCTTCCACAAAAATGACATTATTGTTTCAATTAGTAACATTGGAATGAGGTCTGTAGATTAGACAGTACTACAGTATCAATATTAATTTCCCAATTTTGAAAATTGTATGGTATTTATATGTAAGAGAATTCCTTTGTTTCTAGGAAATACACAGTTAAGTATTTAGGGACAAAGAGACATTAGGTCTACACTTATCTCAAAGGTTCAGGAAATAAAAATAGGAAGATGAAAGGATAAAACAAATGTATTAAAATGTCATTTGGAGACTGTGGGTGAAAGGTATACAGAGAAAGGATTAAAGTATGTTAAGCTTTCCTCTACTTGGAACTCAAAGTCGATTACATCCCTTTGAATGAGGGCTCTGATACCAAGAATGTGGGCAGCCCACAGCAAATGCCTGCCCCAAGGTTTGACCCAAAGTTGGGGTTCAGGATTATTGCCCCCTTCAGCAGAACTCCTCTTTTTGAAAATCTCTCTCTTGACCTAATAGCAAATTCTCGTCAAGGTAGAAGGCAGGTCCAACCCCTGTTATGCACATTGCAACCCCAGCCAGGCCAGGACTAAAGAGTTGTGAATCACTCTTTGTAACAGCACAAAAGACCTTATTCAGCGGGGAAACTTGGAGGAACAGCAATTCTCTTAGCATTCTCCTTGGTAATATAACCCACCATTCCTAAGCATTCCCTATTGGTGGTGTTCCCAATACACAGCTATCTGACTTCAAATGTGCCTGGCCCTTCTCTAAGACCACGACCAGACAGACCAACCCAATACAGCGTCACCCTGGGTCATACCAGCCCCATCTGTTAGCACGACCTGAGCCACCCTGTGACTCCGCTAGCCCCTACTCTGAGGACACGCTACATGACAACACCACAGTGGTTGTGACTGCCTTCCTTTTTACCCCAGGGCACAACTAACTACACAGGGGCAAAACCGAGGGCTTAGGACAGCAGAACAGAAAACAGGAGTCCACAGCTGGCTGGGAAACAGAGGCTAAGGCAGACAAAGAAACTTTCTAACAGGGTCAATTACTAAAATCAAAATGAACACCTAAGGAAATCTGCAGTATCCTTCTCTCGATTGTTTAAAGTCATGGGAGAATATTTGTACTCTGAATATTTTTAACGTTCCCATGTCTGAAACCAGGAGACAAAGTATATAACCGTGAAGTGCTTATACATTTGTGAATTTGAGACTAAGGGTGTGTGTGTGTGTGTGTGTGTGTGTGTGTGTGTGTGTGTGTGTGTGTGTGNTGTGTGTGTGTGTGTGTGTGTGTGAGTGTGTGATTGAATCATTAAAATACACAATTATATTAACATTTTATTAATTCAACAAGTATTGATTAAGCACTTATATGCACAATGCAAGCTGGGAAAGAAGAGGCTTTCAAAAATAAGCAGACATGGAGATTAAAATTCTAACATGAAAAGAGCTTTATTAATGACAGTTGACCCTTGAACAACACAGTTCACACTGTGTGGATACACTTACATACAATTTTTTTCAACAAATACTGTAAATATATTTTCTCTTCCTTATGATTTTCTTAATAACATTTTGTTTTCTCCAGCTTATTTTACTGTAAGAATACAGTATATAATACACATAACAAAATACATGTTACTCAACTGATTATGTCATCGGTAAGGCTTCCAGTCAACAGCAGGCTACTAGTAGTTAAGTTTTGGGGGGAATCAAAATTTATACAACGATTTTCAACTGCACGGGGTTGGCACCCTCAACCCCCAAGTTGTTCAAGGGTCAACTGTACTTAGCACAACCATTCAATGAAATAAGTACAACCAGCCTCATTTTCAAGGTAAGACGTGTAAAGGGAAAGGAAGAAAAACTGGACAAATGTCAAAAAGAGGTTAAATGGCACAGCCAGAAGTCCTAATAAATTGAAGAGTCCCCAGTTAATCTGTAATAATTGGGTAATCTTTTAAGCAAACCACCCAGTTCCCAAGATCTTATATTCGCTATCTGTGCAGTAAGTGAACTGAACCAGGTGGCCCCTAGGTTGCTTAAAAAAAAAAAAGAAAAGAAAGCCTTAAATAAAAGTCTAGAATTTCCATCCTAGGACTTAGCCCCATTATACATACATCACAAGCCAGATCTGGATAAGAAGAGAAAGAGCCTAAAATAAGGCCATTTCAGAAAAACTTTACATCTCGTTTACTCACTTACACAGAAAAGGAAATGGTAATTATTCAATCAGGGGAAAAAAAAAGGTTATGGTTATTCTAATGAGGTACTGCAGAAAACTCAAATAAGGAGAGGATCTTTGTTCTGTTTCTCTTGTGATTATTAAGAATAGTAACATTCTCTAGCGTCTGCAATGCAGAGGCAGCTGAAGCAGCACTTGTGCCCTTGGAAGGAGGGAAGGCGGCACCTCCAGGGGCTGTCACTCTTGCCTTTGTATCCATCCCCTAAGGAACAAAGACACAGTCATCAGCCCTCAATTCCCCAGTTACCTTCACTTTTTCCCAGGATTAGGTAACTCCTGCAGGCTGGGCTGAAAGGGCCGCTGGCACCTGCAGAAGCCTATTCTCAGCCCATCTTCCCTTCTGTGACCCAGTAGCCTTCCTCATGCTGCCCCACAGAGGTGACCCCACTCCCTGGCCTGCTCAGCCTCCCAACAACCCTCTCTGCTCAAATAAAAGCAGGCTGGACTAGGAGGAGCCTGGTTCTAACCCAAGTGCCATCACTAACTGGCTGTGTGGCCTGTAACTAGCTATTTAACTTCATTTGCCTCTTACCTCCCCTGTAAAATAAAGGTTAACGTTGGATCTCTTGTCTAGATGGAAAAGTATATAAAATCAATTATGTTTCAAATATATAAAAGGCCCTTCAAATTAATTTAAAAAAAAAGAAAGATATAACTCCCAGTAGATAAAGAAGTAGCTAAAAAGGCTAATCACAGAAGAAGTAGTAATGGTCAATAAACATTAAAAGATGATCATTAATTTGTAAATTGGTGCATCCCCTATGAAAACAGTATGGAAGTTCCTCAAAAAATTCAAAATAGAATTCCCATATGACCCAGAAATTCTACTTCTGGTATTTATCCAGAGAAATCTAAAACACTAATTCAAAAAGACAAATGTACCCCTATGTTCATTGCAGCATTCGTTACAATAGCCAAGATATGGAAGCAACCTAAGTAACTGTCAGTAGACAAAAGGATAAAGAAAATCTGGTATACGTATGCAAGGGACTATTACTCAGCCATAAAAAAGAATGAAATCTTGCCATTTTCAACAACATGGATGGACTGAGAGGGTATTATGCTAAGTGACAAAAGTCAGACAGAGAAAGACAAATACCATCTGATCTCATTTGCATGTGGAATCTAAAGAACAAAACAAAGAAACAAAATAGAAACAGACTCATAGACACAGAGAACAAACTGATGGTTGCCAGATGGGAGGGCAGTTGGGGGGCTGGGTAAAAAGTGGGAAGGGATTATGACAGACAAACTGACAGTTATAAAAACAGTCATGGGGATGTAAAGTACAGCTTAGGGAATATAGTCAATAATATTGTAATAACTATGTATGGTGTCAGGGAGATCACTTCAAAAGTTACATAAATGTCTAATCACTGTATTGTACACCAACTAATATAATATTGTATATCAATTGTAATTGAAACATAAAAAAAATTTTAAGATGATCATTAATAAATCATGGAGTGGAAAAAACCACAATAATGAGATACCATTCTTCATCCAACATGTTGGTAAAATTTAAAAGATTGTATTAGCAAGAGTGTAGGAAGATGGATATTCTCATACATGCCAGGTAGAAAGGTAGATTGTTACTGCCTTTTAAGGGGGAATTTGGTAATATTCAACAAAATATTAAATATGCATATTTTGATCTGGCAAAATCTCCCAAACAGTCTTACATATGCCAAAAAAATATATATAAAGATGTTCAGTGCAGAACTGTTTACTTAAATGTCCATTAATTGGGAAATGGTTAAATAACTTATAGAACATCTATTTTAAGAATAATAAATAACTTATTATTTATCTATTAAAAAGAACATCTATTAAAAAGAATTAATTAGTCTTTTTATTTGTTCTGACATGGAATATATTATGAAACTAGAACAGTGCCTGGCACATAGGAGCCACTGAGTAAATATTTGCTGAATAAATACATCAGCACTTTTACATATTCTATCTCATCTACTTCTTATGACAATCCTACGATATGAGCCAAGCAAATATCACTGTTCCCAGTATAAGGATGAGGAAATTAAAGTTCAAGGTGGTTATGACTTGCCCAAGATCATAAACCTAAGGTTTTGTGGAGCCAAAAGCACAACCGGACCCACCAGTCAGCCCTCTTTGGTGGCTGATACCCACTCAGCCTGCAAGGAGGCCAACCTGTGAGCCATCAGGAGCGCCAAGTTTGTAGGCAGCTGGAGTGGGTCACTCAGTTACTGTTTGTTGACCGGGACACAGTGATTCCTCTTTTACCAGCAAAGCTTCCATGAGGTGAGACTTGGCTCTCTAGACCTCTACTTGGGCACACTGGGCATCTAACAGGTCTGAAAGGAGCTCATTCAACAACAGGTCGTTATGGAAACCCTACCCCACCCCTTGCCTCTGGAAAGAAAGAAATGAGAAGAAGGGAAAGGGGAGCATTTGTGAAGTGCCTGCTATGAGCCAGGTGCGATGAACAGGGAAAAACTCATCTGAGCCTTCCTTTACAAATCACCAAAAGACACAGACACTGTGCATTGTTGAAGGACAGGACATCCCTGCATCACTGCTTAATCTAGGTCAGTCATAGCTGCAAAGACAGTCAAGTTCACGTGGCGCTCACTCTGGCCATCCCTCTTACCAGGGCACGTGTCAGACAGCACGAGTCTGGTTACCATGTGGCCATCAAGCCACTGTTGTGCAATGCCCCCGCCAGCAACAGGTCCTCACCCGTTCACATCAAAAATATGCATGTCAGACACCCCAGAAAAAATTAACTGGCCAATTTGTGAACACAAACATTTGTCTCAGATAAGCTCAAGAACAGCCACCGTATTCAGAAATTTCAGACGCCATGCTCTCACTAAAACAGTCTCTCGCTTTTATTCATCCTACTCTCGCATTGTCAGGAAATGGTGCTGAGTTTGGGCATTGTTACCTTGGAACTTTCATCTTAATTACAGTCGCTCTTAGTTACTGTTGCTTAGTAACAAACACATTTGAAATATATTTGTTGACTTATTATGAGACACTCTGAAAAGACCTTAGAGTGAATTCACTGAAGGAAAGATAGCAATGGGCTGGTAAAGTAAAAATATTTTAACTGATAAACTGCTCGCAAAATTAAGGTATTACCAGATTCCAAAGATATTACTGAATGTCTACAATACATTCATATACTTTATGCTACTTTATTATTGATCTATTATTTCCTGAACCACTTCAGATGCAGTTATCTGACACACTACGAAAGCTCTGTGAGACAGGCCCTAGACTTGGGTCAAAGCAGCACAAACACAAACAAGCAATGGCTTCGGGATTTCCACAGGCCCAAAATATCCTCCATGGCATGGCTTTGGACACTGCTTCTCTTCAAGATTTCAGGAAGCAGTGAGGCTTCTGTGTTTTCAAGTCAGAAGAAGAAAGCAAGGGGTGCGTTCCCTCGATCTTTCCAGGCGTATTTCTTTAGCACCTATTAATAAAATCTGTGATAAACGTAGAAATGGAAATGCATTTTAGGAGTCCATGCTACACTCATCTTCTGCGAAGCAAAACCCCAACCCCACACTCTCTCCTCACGGAGGCATGACCTCCCCCTGCCTCCTGACAAGACCTTGCCGTCCACCTCAGAAGCCTCTTTACCTGCTCTGCTCTGCTCTCACCATCTCAGAAGAAGGGATCTTCATTGGCTGAGGTACCTCCCGTCCCTTGGATCTTTCTGGTATTTTCCTGTGACCATGCTTCTGTGCCAGTCTCTTGTCTTCCTTTTTTGGGGAAAAAAAAAACCTCAAAAGAGGAGTCTCCACTCACGCTTTTCTTTCTCACGTCCCACTCAATCCTTAAACCACAGCCATTGACTTTACCTCATGGTTTCCTCTTCTAGTCACCATTTCTGTTGGTTCTAGAAGGACTGCAATGAAGAGTAGTATAATTTTCAGAAGTCTGTTTTTCTGATATGCTTGTCTTTGGATTTGCTAAAACACTGCTAGATATTAAACTACTGGTTCTACCGTCGCACTTCCCCTAGCGCCCTACTTCATTTAGCCTTGGTGTGGACTATTATCTTACCCTCATAGCCTACTGATCTCCTAGTCTGTATGAAGACATCCCATGCTCCCAAAATTTGTTTCCTAAACACTTCCTAATCAGACAATCTCCCACCTCTGCTTCAAAAACCATCTTGGCACTCCGTGGGCTCCAGCAGTTTTCCTTCTCAGTTTTCTCTACCACTTAAGTCCACCCCTCACTAACCCATCGGCCCGGGGAATGCTTCAAATTTATCACAATCCAAGCACATGCCCCTATGATGAGGAGAATCAGTTTCCACTGAAAGAAGGAAGAACATCCACTAAATGGGCACCTGCCCAGGGCGTTCAATCTGGTTTCCCAGCACATCTCAGGTTGTTGCCTCATCAGTTTACCTCACTCATCCCTTTTGGCTGCCTGGACCCATAGGCATTTGAACTTGAGGGCTTGGGTCTAAATCTTTGTATTGGTCTTCCCGTAGCCACCCAAGCTCAATTCATTCATGGATTTCTTCATTGAACAAATAGCTATCCAGCGCAAAAATTCATCCATGTGCCAGGCATAGTTTGTAGGCAGTGATGACACAATAACAAAAAATAACAATACAACTCTCTCTAATCTCATGAAATTCATAGAATAAAGAATTATTCGGGCACATGGGTGGCTCAGTTGGTTATAGCATATGCTCTGAGCAACAGGGTTGCCGTTTCGATGCTCATATGGGCCAGTGAGCTGTGCTCTCCACAACTGGAATGAAGACAACAACTTGAGCTAAGCTGCCACTGAGCTGCCAGTAGGTGGCCTGATGGCTCAGTTGGTTAGAGCACCTGCTCTTAACAAGAAGGTTACTGGTTTGACTCCTGCATGGGATGGTGGGCCACCCCCCTGCAACTAATTGAACACAGCACCTTGAGTTGAGCTGCCACTGAGCTGCCGATGGGCTGCTGGATGGCTCAGTTGGTTAGAGCGCGTGCTCTTAACAACAATGCTACTGGTTCCACTCCTGCATGGGATGGTGGACTGCGCCCCCCGCAACTAGATTGAAAATGGCAACTGGACTTGGAGCTGAGCTGCGCCCTCCACAACTAAGATTGAAGGACAACAATTTGACTTGGAGCTGATGGGTCCTGGGGAAAAAAAACACTGTTCGCCAATAAAGTAAAAAAAAATAATAATAATAATAATTATTCAAATACAGTACATATAAAATAAGTGCTATGAGGTGAAAGAACTATACATGGCTATGAGTTTACAGTAGAGAGAACCAGCCACATCAGAGAAGGCATCCTGTTAAGAGCTGAGGGCCTAGGAAGAAAAGGCTCAGTTAGGCTAAGTTATGGGGTACAAGGGGGTCGGCGTGAGGAAGGTGGCACTCCAGAAAGAGGAACATGTGCAAAGGTCCTGTTCCTTCTCAAATTCTTTACCCAGGATACTCACTGTTAGGGAGCCTCCCTTCTAAGTCATGTTTCTTTTCTAACGTGTCATATTGACTTCCAAGCTAAACAAAGACTCCCGTTGCAAAATCAGAGCAATCATTGTTTTTGAAAGACCTGGGCTGCAACAACAGGGCCTAGGTTTTAATATATATACTTACAAAAATATTTTCCATATTTCAATAGCCTAGTTTATTCGCAGCTTGCATCTTTTTAAAACTAAGGATTTATAGCCGAGTGCTGTAAGCATTCACTTCTCAGCAACTTTCTGACAAATTCCACTCAGAACAGCTGCTACCATAAAATTTAATTTGCCACTTCCCAAAAAAGTCACTTCAATGTAAAATAACTTTGCCTTCCTGCTAATATTTTACAACTAATTAAAACTGAAATGATGGGCTAAAAGTCCCCCCATTTGGCTCCATGCACAGATCTGCACAAGTACAGGATGTGGGGAAAAGCACAAAATCATGAGCGCTGGGGAGCATACACCGTGTCTCCAAACATGTGCGCTGCCAAGACTCGAAACTGGTGGGGATGTTTGGCAAATATAAAAATGAGATGTGAAAACTTCAGAACAATTATCCGTGTGAATCCATTTCCGTGTTTCAAAAGACAGAATCATTCTGCGCTCCTAATGAAGCCTTATAGTAACCATTGTTTGTACACCTTTTGTACGAAAATCACAGCCGAAGCCAACAGACTGGCAAATCACCTTATGGCATTTATTATTAGCCTGCAAAATGAAACCTTTCTTCAGATGTTTTCCTAGGTGCCTTAATTGTACAAGAAAATTAATAGGAAGTGGAGCCACGCCAACCTCTGGTTGCAGAACAAGGTTCTGTTGTCAAAACTCATTCACGCCAAGGTGGTGCTCTACGTTCAAGAGAGGTGACGGGAATGTTTCTTCGGCCAAGCCAAGGAAAATTAATGACCGCCAGTCAGAAATATACGGGCTGTTAGGGCAATGCCCTCAGTCCTGATCATCGCGGAAGGGCAGGACAGGGAGGACGGGGGGGTTAAGGAAAGGAATAAGGTTGTGTGTCGGGAAATCCACAGGGCT